TCATTCAAGGTCTCGCATTTCATCGCCTAATCTCGGCGTTGTATGCAAATTGAGAATTTTCTCGTTTAACGTCATTGGAGCAGGACGATGATCTTGTCTTTGATGAATAATATCAATAGAAAATATGTAAGTAAAATTGATTTTGAACCATATCAAAGAGAGAGAGAGAGAAAGAGAGAGAGAGAGAGAGAGAGAAGAGAGCTTGAGTAAAATAGGCAAAAAGAAAAAGGGAAGAAATTAGTAGGTTTCTTTTACTTTGATATGCAAAGGTAAATAAATGCCTTCCCCTCGAGAAATGGTCAATAATTTCCACTTGCAGACAATTATTAGGTGAACCCTCATTCGTGGGTCCATACGGTCTTATTCCGTTCGAAGCTAATTTAAGTAAATATCATTTCTTTTCCTATGGGTCGTGTCCTTTCAAAACGTGGGCGACCATGGCCCTCCACAGCTTCCAATGCATACCTTAATAATAGTATGTATATTTACTTTCTCTTCTACTCCCCGTTCAGTAATTCATTCATATAAGCTCATGAAGTAGATGATTCACTGCCTCTTTCTGTAGCTTTTGCTTTCAATATTTCCTGTGAGTGACAAATTTTCCATGCCGTCTTTCCTCGTTATGTTTCCTAAATATTTCAGCTCTCTTTCTGTTTCTGAGTATAGGTTTCCTTTTTGTTTTCATTTTCCTCGAAACGTTCTCCTTGCTTACATGCTCTGTCTATGGTATTCTCAGCATCCTTCTGTAGAACCATATTTCTGTTATCGCCAATTCCCTCTTCATCTGTGAGAAAATTGTCCAGCATTCAATGCTATATTATTATCTCATATTATTGTTCTTATACAGAAGCTTAGCTCTCTTTTCTAACGAAATTTTTCATGTTTCTTTGTTTAGTTTTTGGAAGGCATATTTTGATATTCCAGAGCAAAGTCGAATTTTTGTGTCACATTTTCCGTCTTTTATAAAAAATAAAAAAAAACAGACTTCCTTGATATTTAAAATTGCCGCATTTATTTCATTCTGACATCTTCAGTACGTAGTTCATATTTTTGGGCGCATTCACTTTGCCGACAATCATTTATTCCGTCTTCTGACAATTGATGCTTAGTCCTTTCTTCCTGCTTTCCATTACGGCCTTGTCTAGGAGTTCATATACTTTTCCCTCTGATTCTGATATTATCACAATTTCATCTACGTATCTTGTATTGTTAAGATTGTGCTCACCAATAATAAATCGTACCAGGGACAACAGATTCTTTAGGATAGGCTTGATGTAAAGGTTGAAGAAATCGTTTTAGACGATACAACATTGTCTTATGATCTCTGTATTCTTTTAAATAGAAATAACGTTACTAGTTTAGGGAATTCGTGTATCACTGAGTATCTCCCTACTGCGCTATTGTTTTATAAGTAGATAGCCAAGTGTGGATAATGGTACGGAGTTAGAAGTAGATGCTGAATGTGAAAAATGATACGGCATTATAAGCAGTGGGGAGTAAAGAGTGGTATGCGACTATAAGTAGATTGTGATGGCGGGTAAAAAAGTGTATTTGGTTATAAGTATATGATGGACTGTAAAGAGTGGTATAGGATTATAAATAGATGATTTGGTGTAAAGTGTGGTATAAGGTTGTAAACAGATGATGGCGTGTAAAGTGTGATAAAGATTTATAAATAGATAGTTATGTGTAAAGTGTGGTACAGATTTATAAGTAGTTAGGTGTAATGAATGGTAATGGGGTTATGAATAGATAGTGAGGGGCAAAGAGTGGTTTTCTAAGCGTAGCTTAGATATGGTACAAGGCCGAAAGTATGGAGCACCCAGGGAGGATCGAACTCACTAGTCAATCGTAATTGATCTAGCGATACAAGCTTGCTAACACTTATACCACGTCAAAGTGCCCTATGGTAAGCCCATAGCTTAGACGTGGCACAAGGCCGAATGTATGGGGTACCCAATGGAGATCGAACTCACTATTCAGTCGTAATTTTTCTAGTGCGACAAGCTTGCTAAGCGTTACACTACGTCGAGATGTCCTGATTTTGTAAGCGTAGCTTAGATATGGCACAAGGCCGAAAGTATGGAGCACCCAGTGAAGATCGAACTCACTATTCAGTCGTAATGCTAACCATTACACCACTTCAAAGTGACCAAAACGATTATCTAAGCGTAGCATAGATATGGCACAAGGCCGAATGTATAGAGCACCCAATGAGGATCGAACTCATTATTCAGTCGTAATTTTTCCAGCGCGACAAGCTTGCTAACCATTACACTACGTCAAGATGCCCTGATTTTCTGAGATATGGCACAAGGCCGAAAGTATGGAGCACCCAGTGAAGATCTAATCCACTATTCAGTCGCAAGTGACCTAGCGACGCAAGCTTGCTAACCATTACATTATGGTATAGGGTTATAAATAGATGGTGGGCTATAAATAATGGCATGGTGTTCTGAGTAGATAGCGTGGTAGTAATGAAGGCTTATGATGCTATTCATTAAAATGGTATGGTTGCAAAGAGATGGTATGGTAGAATAAATGGATGGTAGGGGCTAGTGTAATAATCATGTTAAAAATGAAATGTTTCAATTAGTCATCTCATAGCGAAATAACCTGGCGAAATGTAAATATAATTTTTTAAGGTTTTTACCTGTTTTGATACATTTAAGGACAAAGTAGGAAAAACGATATTTACATTTCGCTGGGGTATTTCGCTGTGAGATGACTAATTGAAACATTTCATTTTTGTCATTTTTGATACATTTAAGGACAAAGGTCAAGGAGGCACGTTGGAGTAATGGACAGCGGCTCGGATTGAGGAATCGGAGAGCCAAGTTGGGAAAGGTACGAATCGTCTTCTTCTCTCCCTAGCTATGGGTAAATAGCAGGAGAGATCGGGTTCTATAACCTTAGATGGCAACTGGTCTAGCGCAGAAAGAAATGGCAACCTACTGCCTCGTCAGTCATGTATCGAAAGATACATGATCGCATAAGTGTGTATCACGCATGACACATAACTGACTTAAAGACAAAGAATATTGAAAATATTCGCTGTTTGACCACATTTTGTCCCGTTTCTGACCTGTGTCCTTTCATATCGATTTCTGAAACGATAAATGACTCGATATAATATTTACATCCCAACCGGCACTCACATATTCCAAGAAAACGAAAGACAAAATAGCCATGTGTTAAATTCGATTCTCACACGGCCTTGCTGTGTGATAGAAAGCTTACAAGTTCCCGGTCTAAAAATGTGTTTAAATGAGAAAAATATCAGTTATTTGGAAGGGATTTTTTGGACCTGCCGAAAGGTGTTTTTTTTTTTTAAGTAGCTTCTCGTATAAAATGTTTATGAAAACTAAGATAACAATCTCCTTTGATATAATTTTTGATGTGTGATGTGATGGTGTCAACGCGCCGTCAATGATCGTATATGTTCAATTTATAACACGCTGTGTGACGCCCCTGTAACACGATGGGCGACGAAGCAAATGTTGAACTTATTGGGTCGAGATTCAGTGAAAACATTCTTAGTTTTGATATTTCTTTTAAATAAACATTGGCAACTCGGGTTTCTTCAGACTGTATCCAAATTCGTGTTTTTGCCTGATGTTGCTATTGAGAGGCGTCTGTTGTTGAACAAAGAATAAAAGTGGAAAGCGCGCGAAAGTGCGTGTACGTGCACGCGCGTGAGCAAGAGAGAGAGAGCGAGACAGAGAGAGAGAGAACGAGAGGGAAAGAGAAACAGAGACAGGTAGAGAGAGAGAGCGTGAGCGAAAGGGAGAGAGATACAGACAGAGAGAGGGAGGGGGAAAGAGACTGACAGAGAGAGAGGGAGAGAGAGCGAGCGGGAGCTAGAGGGAGAGAGAGAGCGATAAGGAAAGAGAGAGACTGACAGAGAGAGAGAGTGAGAGGGGAGAGAGAGAGCGAGAGAGTGGGAGAGAGAGGGAGAGAGGGAGGGAGAGTGCGAGAGGGAAAGAGAGAGATACAGACAGAGAGGGAGGAAGAGAGAGAGGGGGAGAGAGAGAGGGAGACAGACAGATAGAGAGAGAGGGAGGGAGAGAGAGAGAGCCAGAGGGAATGAGAGAGATACAGACAGACAGACAGAGAGGGAGAGAGAGGGAGAGATAGAGGGAGAGAGAGAGAGAGACAAATGAAATTAAAAATACATTTTTCTTTGAATTTAATAAGAACGCAATTCTTTTTACTCATATAAAGTTTACCTTAGTTTGACACAAGGCAAAAATACGGTGAGACTAGAACAATACTTTAACTGGGAACCACCTCCATGGTCATGTGCTGCTTTTATCGAAAATCTTCAGCACATCGTGTACATTTGGCTGTTCTGCATGTGCCTGCTATACCCTTATCAGATTGGGTGATCATAATGGGTACATTGGTCCTCGTATATTGATAATCCAGCATAATTTCATTGGTAGTGTTGCTCTCTCTCTCTCTCTCTTAAAATAATACTAATACTAAAACTACTACTACAAATAATAATAATTATTTAGAAAAAACAAAAATAAAAACATAAAAATAAAAAGTGGCAAATTGTTAAAAAGTTTGGTCATCTAGTGTGGATACTCCAAAGAAACTGGAAGGTTTGAAAAAATACCAAGATCTGGCTAGAGAGTTGAAAGCGCTATGGAATATGACTGTTAAAGTAATTTCTGTTTGATTTGGTTTACGGCATATCAAACTCAATGGATTGTTTAACGCCGACAAAATTTTTATTGCTGGTAATATGTTTCCCTTCAAAAATCCATTTCTGGGAATATTTTTCCTTGAAGAAATCTATAGCTGGTAATATTTTTTTAAAAGAATATATAGTTGTTTGTATTGATAGTACTTTTTTTAAAAAAGTATTGCTGACAATAATTTTTCCTTCAAAAATTATTGCTGGTAATATTATTTTATTACAAATATTTCTGGTATTAAAACCTACTTTTACACAAGTCTGGGTGTTAACTATTTGCCCATAGCTGGGACCCTAACTGGTGCTGCCACCCAGGGTTAGGGTGGACCTGGGAACGCCAGAAAGTGTACACAATATTTACATATAGTCTTTTGTATATTCTTGGGAAGACCGTTCCTGGAGAATGTGTTGACTTAGTCGCAGTCGGGCAGAGTCTCTGGATTGATTCCTCCCCCCGTCTTCCCGGTATCAACCATATTTATATGGTCGGTACTCCACTATGCAAATTAGGTGGATCCTGCCACAACAACAATAATAATAATAATAATAATAATAATCACGGAGACAGGACCTGTAACAATTTTATGGGACTACACAAAATACACAGACAGAACAATCAAAGCTAATCGCCCAGAGAATGTTAGTCAAAGACTCAAAGTCAAAAACGGTGCCTCCTTCTTGATATGGCAATCCCTGAAGACTGCAATGTATCTCTGAAGATCTTCAAAAAGTTGTCAAAATACAAGGACCTTGAAATCGAAATCTCAAAAATGTGGCACATGAGAACATCAACAATCCCCGTTGTAGTTGGAGTCCTCAGATTGGTTGGAAAAGATTCCAGTAAACTAATTGAAGGGATCCCTGGAAGCCCATGCCTTAAAGAAATACAAAAGATTGTTCTCACGAATACAGCCCACATCTCATGAAGGGCTTTATCTATGCAAAATATGTGTGTTGTTGTCTTTTTTAAATTGCTCAGTGGAAAATGTCATGACGCCATTTCTGACTTTAGGTCTCTGGTTGGGACCCGGAAAGAAATGAGTACACACCAGAAATCAAAGGAAATGAAATAATAATAATAATAATAATAATAATAATAATAATCCCAAGCATATGTAATGAAAAACGTGTTAACCCGAAATGCAGATTCAGCTATAAATCCTCAGGAAGAATAGACCCTCTTGTATCAGGTTGCGCGGTGAATATAAAACTCAACATTATAAAGTGGGCCAATATCTGCACTGGAAAATATGCAAATTTTCCGGGAAGGAAACTGAAAGAAACTAGCATCTATGTAAAACGTGTGCGAACTTTACTTTTTTTTTTTTACAAAAATGTTCAGTGGAAAATCTCATGAAGCTATTTCTGACTTTAGATCTTTGGTTGTGACCCGGAAGGAAATCAATATGCGACAGAAATCAAAAAAATATTAATAATAATAATAATAATATACTATCAATTAAATTACAATTCTCCTATAGGGCCTACGGACCATAGTTTGAACCCGACTCTACAAGATATAAAGCACGAAACATAACATACACAAATAATAATAATAATAATAATAATAATAATAATAATAATAATAATGATAAAATTATCGAAGTATAAAGTCCCGGAAATTGACATAAAAAAATGTGGAAATTGAAAAGAATAGTGTCAATCATAGCAGGTGTGCTTGAAATGATAAAAAAGGAACAAAACAACACATCGAAAAAATCCCTTGAAATCTCAGCTTAAGAGAAATACAAAAAAATGTCTTGATGTCTACAGATCACACATTAAGAACTTTGTCCATATAACGCTAGTGGTCTTAAGGGAGTTAGAAAAAAAAACAATGAACTGTAGCCATGGGAACACATCACTCCCTGCCTTAGGTCTTCCCGCAGACTTGGTAGGTCATGTGACCATAACAGAAATCGAAATAATAATAATAATAGTAGTCATAATAATAATAATAGACTTATTTCGTCCAGCGTTGGATAGCTCAACAACAGTTGATATGTCGTAAAATCCACTTGGAAGATTGGCGCAATACAATCTTTCTGTCTTTATATCTACTCTATTTGTGCTAAGTATTTATCAGTGGTCATAGCTCTATGGTAGGCGCAAATCAATTTTGTACGTGTAAAATTTTCTCTCTCGTCGAATTGCCTCGAAGAAAAGTATGCGTGACAGCATGTGCCCCCCATCCCACCTCACGACCCGGGCAGACCATATCATTCGCAAGGTTTTATCTAATTACGTTCATTTACATTCCGAAACGAAATATCGACATGGCTTTTCAAATAGCCGCCGCCAGTCGTCCTTTCCCGCCACGGAAGATGGTTTTCTTTGTAATAGCCAATTCTCTGCAAAAACTGGCAGACAAAAACTGATGGCTTTCAATTAAACGTAACCTTACTCTTTCCTACTGTCAGATTCCTTGGTGCTTACTGCTGGGAAAAGTCCCTGTCAGTGTTGAAATGGCAACGAACTGCTTAAAGGGGCTCCTGCCAGCCCCGCGGCAACGCCCCAGCCATTTTCGTCACACTGCACGCGAACTGCAGGCCATTATTGAAACCGATAAGACGTGATATGGAGACAGAAATGGGCCATTATTATGGACGGGGTTGAGTTGGGAAGAAAATGCTTTAGGCGCCCACCTCCGAAATAAGTAAAAAGCATTCAATCCAAATTCATTCAACAACTGATAACAAGATGGCAGCGTTTTTCTGGTACCTACCGTAGTGCGATAGCAAGCAAGCCCATCTCCCTAGTGAGGTAGGTTGGATCCTTACTGGTTATCGTACTAGTGTGGTCATATGCCAGATAGTGTAATCTATAATATAAATGAAGAGATGATTCTCTGTCCGTCATGCACTGTCTGCGTGTGACCTTGCATGCGCATATGTAATGTATATGTTTGTGTCTGCGTTGTGCATGAGTCACTTTGTTCCATTTACAGCATACACACACACAATAATAATAATCTATCACGATATATGAGTATTATGTTAATTATGTTTTGTTTGAATTTATTCATAAATAAAAGGTTTGGCTGCGTTTGTTTTCCTTGCATAATAAAACATGGAAGGTACAAAATTTATTAACAAAATTAAAGGTTTACCAACATAGATAGATACGAAAAGACTGGAAAATAGATAGATAGATATGAACAGACTGAGATAGATAGATAGATAGATAGATAGATAGATAAATAGACTGATATATATATATATATATATATATATATATATATATATATATATATATATAGAGAGAGAGAGAGAGAGAGAGACAGAGAGACAGACACAGAGACAGACTGATACATAGATATGAACAAACTGAGATAGATAGATAGATAGATAGATAGATAAACAAATATATATATATATATATATATATATATATATATATATATATATATATATATATAGAGAGAGACAGACCGCCAGATAGATAAATATGAACAGATTTAGATAGATAGATAAACACACACACACACAACACACACACACACACACACACACACACACACACACACACACATATATATATATATATATATATATATATATATATAGAGAGAGAGAGAGAGAGAGAGACAAACAGACAGGCAGACAGACAGATAGATAGATAGATAGAAATGAAGAGACATGAACAGACTGAGATAGATAGATATATAAGGAACAGACAGATATGAATGGACTGAGATAGATATATAAATAGATAGATATTTAGGCGGGGATAATAGATAGGTATGAACTTAGTCAATGAACAGCCTGAGACAGACAGACAGATAAAGTCTGATGTAAACAGAGATCGACAATGTAATGATGATATTATGATGGCTGCCAAGAAAACCGACTAAAGCCACCGTTCGAATGATCGTCTTCCTCTTCGTCATTTCGTAAAACCCAACCCCACCATCCCCCATCCCCGGAACGTCTTAATAAAGCGGCCATGACACTCATGCCAGATATATTCATTTAGTTTCGCACGGCCCACCCCTGGGGAAATTAATTCTAATTGCTTAATGACCAACTGTTTTGCATTCCTTCCCAACTTCCAATGGTTAAGCTGAGTTGAAGTCTGAAAATTGACAGAATCTCAGAACGGAAGATGTCAGACATGTTTTTGTTATTCGCTATGCCTTATGTTAACTTTTGGCACACGGGGCAGCATTAATTATGGGGCTTGGCGGTATGTCGAGTCAATCAACATCTGGCTCTGAGTTCATCGTTAAAATCAAGCCCAGCTTTTCGTTGAAGCAGTGGCTAACGGCGGTTGTGCATCGCTGTAGAAAATCAAATTAAGGAAAAAAACAAAACAACACAAAAAAGACAAATACAAAATACAGACCCCCACGCCCCACCCCCAAACACAAACAGAAAAAAAAGAAAGACAAAAACAAAAAACAAACAAAAAATCAAAAACTAAACAAAAGAAAACAAAAACAAAATACAGACACACACGCAAACGCCCCCTCACACACACGCCAACACATACACCTACGCACGCGCCTCCCCACTCAACCCCCCCAAAAACAAAACAAAAATCAAAAATAAATACAAAACAAGAACAAAATACTGAAACACACACACGCACACACATACACAAAAAAAACAAAAGAGAACAAAACAAAAACAAACACACACGCCCCCTACCCAAACGCCCCCCACGCCCCCACACAAAACAAAAACAAATAAAGAAAAAAAAACAAAAAAAAAACAAAAACAAAGTACAGACACACGCACGCCCACACAGAAACACACGCCCACGCACAAAAACAAAAAAAAGAACAAAAGCAACAAAAACGAAACAAAACAAAATACACACACATACACACACTTGCACGCACATACACAAAAACAAAAACAAAAAAGAACAAAAACAGCAAAAACAAAACAAAAACAAAATACAGACACACACACACACACGCTCCCTCCCCTCCACACAAAAACAATAAGAACAAAAACAGAAACAAAACCAAACAAAACAAAATACAAACACACATACGCCTACACACACGTTCCCACAAACAAAAACAAAGAACAAAAAAACAAAACAAAACAAAAAGCAAAATACAGGCACACACACACACTTGCCCCCACACACAAACGAGACAAAACACAAAACAAAATACAGACACAGACACGCCCACACACAGAAACGAAACAAAACAAAAAACCAAAACAAAAAAGAGCAAAAACAAAACAAAACAACAACAAACAAAATACAGACACACACACACACACGCCCCCCCCCACAAAAAATGTTAAATAACGAAATGGATTACTGAGTGTGAACCTGTTTTTTTGTGAGAAAAAATTGTTTAAAAAAGTTAATTAAATATTTAAAATATTTGAACGCATTTACACGCTAATGATAATTTTTTAATTAATAATTGCTTAATTAATTAAGAAGCTAATAATAATAATAATAATAATAATAATAATAATAATAATAATAATAATATAATGTGCATTAAAGATTTGTCCGTGTCCTTTTCTTTAAATAATTTGACTCTTCGCCATTTGCAAGATAGTCATATTTTAAATTTAAATTATTTGTCTATTTAATATTATTTTTATTCAGTTTAAATACTGGAATCACAAAAATGACTTCAAAGACTTTTGCTGATACACTTTTTATTCGGTACTGCCAATAATTTGCTGAAAAAAACCTCCAAACTTAATAAAAACAAAAATTTATCGTCAAAACCAAAATAGTTTTTAGCACTTTCGAAATTTTGGTTAAAAATCTTGTTTTTCTTGCGTTAACGGACTTTGAAAGTTTTGTATAGGATATTTTAACATCAAAACATTGATTTGGAAATTCTTGCAGAAATTAAATAATGGTCCGTTTTTAATGAAATTTTCAGGACCTATTCACAAATGAATGAAATTATTTTTTAATTATTTTTTTTTCAGAAACCTTGGTAAAAATATTTTTTTGTTTTCTATCTGTTCTCGACCCCCGCTTAATTTTTTGAAATTTCGAGGAATAAATAGAAAATATCAGGAAACCATTTTTAATTCCTAAATAATGGCTCGTAGCTTGTTTCCAAATATGCATATCTGCTAGTGTGGCTAGCTAATCCCTATTACAGACACCCACTCAGGCAGATGTGCATTTGTTCAACAAACTACAGAGCCAACCCGTGATTTATCTCGAAATTATGATTAGCAGATCTTAGTTACCGTTCTGGAAGAGAACGCATTATCTGGCGAGATCAACAGTTTGAACAAGTCCAGTACTTTCAAACCCTCGGTCACGATGGCTTGTCAATTCGTGCTAGACTGTTCTATTTGCTTAATTTCACTCACAAGACTTGGGTCAATCCGTGGTATGGTTTTCGGGCTCTTTCCAAAGGTGCCACATGCTAAGATCAGCTCCCCAAGCTGATATTATCAAGAAGTCAAATACTTGGCAAATTGACCAATGTGAAATTCAAATCTGAGTCTCATGATTGGGACGCTAAAGTGCACTTTTTAATTGCTGTATCGCAATGCTAAATTTGGTTATCCAAAACATCTTAGAATAGTTATTTTCCACTAATAATTTCTTGTCATTTTTGACGAGTGAAGACAAAATAAACCAAAACGATGTTTCAACTTAATGCTTACTTGTTATTTTTATACTAAAGTTTACCCGACACAAGGCTCGAGAGTGACTCGAGGTAGAGGGTTCATCTTAAAATGGTAATTATGAATGAAGTGTGATATAAGTGAAAGAGGCGATGATAGGAAGTGAAGATTATGAGTACAAGGAGGATATATAACGATTGAACGGAGACATGAAAAGACAAAGATAGTAGTGTTCAGGAAAGCATCCACACGGGAGTCAATTCCAGAAAGTCGAGCTTTATCTTTAAATTTCGAATACAGAGGCAATGATGGTGATTCGACTCTGTGGAAGCAATATGGTACAGCAGTAAAAGTCTGAAGAGTCTCTTTAGGACGTAGGCGATCATGGCTCTCCACAACTTCCTGTCACTTCTAGCTCTTAATGAATTGTGTCTTTCTGTTATCTCTCCTATAACCCTGTTCCGCCATTCATTTAGTTATGCGTTGTTTTATCGACGGAAATAAGACTGAAGTTCATCTGAACATTTGCCATGGAAATAGCGATAGAATAACGACAGGCTTACAACGAAAAAATGCTTGAAGGGCGGAGAAAAAAGTCTTCCCCAACAAAACCGATTTTGAAACCTATAAAGGCTGGAAAGATTGATCAGCTCCAGCCGAGGCAGGGTAGTAATTCTCCAGCTTTAGTCTAGCCTCACTCCTTTAAAATTACGCAACACCCTAGTGTCGCGTAATCCTCTTTAGTGTGCCACGAAAAAAATTATATATATATATATATATATATGTGTGTGTGTGTGTGTGTGTGTGTGTGTAAGTTATGAAATGGACAAAGTCCGACAATTATTTTTTAAGACAATTTTTGTTTATACGTTAAATGCTCTGTTTATAATAAACAATATTTACCGGCCTGAATGTCCGAGAAATTTTCATAGAAAATTTGCGTCCTCCGTATAAACAAAAAATGTCTTAAAAAATAATTGTGAGGACTTTGTTCATTTCATAATGTGTGACGTCATTTGTTTACATTTGGATACGCCATGAGCAGATATGAATGTACGTGAGAGAATCATGGAGAATTGTGTTTAAATACAGTAAAATTTATCTTGCTAACCGGACGCTACTCTGTGGCCCAATCGGTTAAAGGCACGTCAGGCTAAATAACGGTTCCGTATAGGTTACAGGTTCGATTCCTGTCGGAGGAAGCATATTTTCTACGACAATTTCTCGGACATTCAGGCTGGTAAATGTTGTTAATACTGTTTATTATAAAACAGTGCCTTTACTTAAATATTTGTGTCTATAAAAAGAACGTATAAACAAAAAATATCTTAAAATATATATATATGTATGTGTATTTAGGCAGCAATTCTTCTTTCATGAACATTTCATTGAATACGGCAGACAAGGTGCTTTTATTTAGTTTTTTATACAATTTCTCAAATGATCTAATATTTTTTTCTTTTCAGATGATAAATTATATAAAAACTGTCCGAATGTTCTTTTTATCCGAGCGCTTTCGGCGATACATTTAGCCATTTTCAAGGATGAAATATTTTAACTGTTAAATAAGAAATAGCTTGTTGTATGTATGTTTAATAAAATGTTTTCATTTTTCAAAACATGGTGAAGATATTATGTCCATGTTCAAAGTTTATATTATTAAGTGTTGTTTTTTGGTTTAATTAATAAGGCTTCCATTATTTTTAGCCTTTTTTTGTATGTAGATGATGCTATTATATTAGTGTTGTCAATAAGTATGTTACGAATTGTGTCCGGTACGTCTCCATGGATATTTAAATGAGATCTAATTGAGCTATGGTCAATAATATCTATCTATCTATCTATCTATCTATCTATCTATCTATCTATCTGTGTGTGTGTGTGTGTGCGTGTGTAATGGTATAGCGTTTGTATTTGAATAAATGAATAAATAATAATTTTTTTATTCAAATAATTCTTTTGACTATTCTTTTTTGTTATTTTAAATACTTTGTTTTAAAATTCATTTTTTAAAAAATAAAAATATTTTTAACGGCTTAAAATAAAACATTCGACGCTACCCATTAATACATTTTGGATTTCAATACAAAAGGAATATCCGACATTAGCTAGAAAGGCTTTCTCAGTTTTATTGCAATTTTCTACTTCCTATTTATGTGAATTAGGCCCCTCAACCCTAAAGAAAATCAAAAATAAGAAGCGAGAAAGACTACGCTCAACTGAAGAAGAAGAAATGAGGGTCTGCTTATCGTATATTCGATCAAACATGGAAGAAATCGTGAAAAAAAACAAGGCACAGGTTTCAAACTAAATAAGCTACAAAAATAGTTGAATAGAAACATTGAAATAAACTAAGTTCATATTCGTAGGTACCTTCATGAGAT